TCTTTTTTCACTCCTCTCCCTTTAAGGCAACTTTGTTCTTATTGGCTGTTCCCCACAAACAGAAGGTTTGAGGGACAAGTGGGTGGAGCTTCTGTGATAAGGGCCAGAATTGGAGATCACCAATATTAGGATATCCCCCCTCAATGACATCACACATTACCGAAGTTAAAAAAACCACATAAACCTGAGTGTTTGTCTCACAGTGAGTATCTGTAAACATGATGATCTCATTATCGTAAAAGTGTATAAATGAAAGCAAAGAAAAGCACAACAAATTCAGTCTTTTTACAAACTGTGCTGCTAGAAACAAACAGAATGTGTTTCTATGAAAGAAGGAAATGAAATCACTGTCAGATCATTTCTACACGTTTAAACCTGAAATAATTCTGCAGAAAATAAAAACATAACAGAAAATTAAAAAGAGAAAGTTAAAATACAATGAAAAGATTAAATATTAAAATAAAAAAATGCTTCAAAAATCTTGATCTCATCCTCATGTTTGCATCAACCTAAGAAAACACACACACACACACAGTACAGTAATTTTCAAATAGATGTTATTTCCTGTATTTTAACCTCAAATCTGCTCCTACATTATAAACTCTCCCTCATGTCAGAGTCAGTTGGACAGTCAGTCAGACTCTCTGCTACTTTCCATACTACAATCATGTAGTGCACTGAAAAGAAATTCAGAAGCTACAAATCTGCACCAGATCATTCCTGTTAATTTTCTTTAAAACCTTCGTGGTCACCTCCACAGACTTTTCTGTGTAGGTCTGCACCATCAGGTCCACCAGGTCACAGGTGCTGGCCTTCTCCAGTCGGCTCTTTGGGATGGGTTGGAGCTCCACCAAAACATCACGGTCCCGCAGGAACCACTTGAACTTTTCAAGCTCCTCCTTTTTCAGATCTTCCAACATTCCAAAAAGCTTCTCTCTGTCTGAGTGGACTGTTAATGCCTGAGAACAAATGAGGAGATATGAGGAGATATAATTTGATATCAATCAGTTATCCAAAAAATAAAATTATGCATAACAACCATCCAATTCAATCACGAGGGGTTTTTATTCAGTTTTACATTCTGAATTATGTTTAACCTGCATTTTAATGACTTAAAGCTTTTGTGTGTAAAGTCAGGCGTTACTCACCTTTGGCATCTGTGCTGCAGCATCACTGTCCCACTGTAACTTTAGCTTTTTA